GGTTGCCATTTCCTTCTCCAGTGGACCACATTTTGTCAGAACTCTCCACCATGACCTGTCCATCTTGGGTGGCCCTGCACGGTATATATAGCTCATGGCTTCACTGAGTTACGCAAGCCCCTTCGCCACGACAAGGCAGTGATCCATGAAGGGGAATTCTAGCCATTAGGTAAAGATATTTATCCAGAGATTAGATTCAAGTTTACTGACTTCTGCTTCCCATCAAAGTACAGCATTTGGAACACAGTGGGTAACCTGGAAGATGTTTCTTAGAAATTTTGTTTGTATTCTTTCTAAGGTAATCATGCTGTCATATGGTCCCAGCTGAGCCCTGTATAGCAGTTGTGCTTGGGCTTTAGCTGAAACAACTTAATTGCAGCAGGGATAAACTCTGCTCCTCTGGAAAAATAATAAGTTTGGATAACTGATGCAGATCTCTGTGCATTACAAGATACGTAGAAACCACTAATCGTAGAAGCACTGCTGATCTTATGCCTAGTAAATGGGACCCAGCAGTTTCCCAAGTCTTGAATGAATCAAGAATTCACCAAGGGATTGGTAGTGGATTCTAGCCACTGAATGTCAACTGCCCATTTTCCACCCATGGGATTATTGCTGCCATTAAGAGATTAGTAGTCTTCTACCTACTGACTGAGGACAGTCAGTTTCATACCCTTTGGGTTACCTCCTACTGAAGCACACACACAAACACACTTCATTCCATTTGGCATGGCTGCGTCATATACTAATCCAGATTACACCTCTTCATGTTCTTTGAATAAATTACGAGCATAAAGACTGGGCTTGACTGTTTATTCTCTCTTTACTTAGCTGAATCTGGTTAGTTAAATAAATTAGTACCAATTTAATCATCAAAAAATATTAAATGATTACATTAATTTAATGGAAAGGGGAAAAGAAAGGTAGGGGAAGAAGGGCATGGGGAAATGTCTGTGAAAATGTGTCCAAGGTGGAGTGCTGCCTTTTCTGTGTTCTGATTAAGTTCTCACTTCCCACTGCAAAGTCATCAACCTCTCAGAGGCAGGACCAGGTAGATCAGGAGTTCTGGGGAAAGTGGAAACTAATGGGGTGGTTTGTACCAAACTGCAGACTCATCTTCTTCCTTTTTCATTCTGTGCCTCTTTCCTTTTGTAGAGAGTAAGGGAGATGGCCTTGACAGAAATATGCAAGAAGCATTGCCTAGGCAAAGAGGGCTGAAATGTTCTTTAAGTCCTGGGAAACAAGATAATATTTGGAACGCAAATGCCTCCCTGATCCACTGGGGTATAAGAAGGAGGAGAAATATAACACAATCAGACTTGTAAGATTCTATTATTATAGCCAATCTCAATAAAGTGTAGTTCTAGTCTTCCTGTGGAGTTGATTTTCTGAACTGATCTACCTAGTGGAGCTAATACCTTTTTAAGCTTCTTTTGGGTTACAATGCAATGATTAAAACCCATCCCTCTCACTGATCTTCTACCCCACTTTTCCATACATGAACCAACCATTCATCTTTTTTTCAAAACTCCATCTTTCTCCCTGTATATGTCTGTGGTTATCTACTAAGTTTCTTCTTTAGAGTGCTGTGATTTGCTAGCACTTTGTTATTTAAAAGAAATCATGAAGTGGACAAGATAGGTCCGCAATCCTATGTACTTCTGCAAAATTATGTCAGAACAAAGCAAAAATCATAGTTTCTAATATGGTTCTTAAATTCGTATATATCAATTGTTTTAAATCCAAATACTGTATTATTTATTTTGGATAAATGCAGTGTATTAAGATGCACTCCAGTGTAAAGTCCCAACTACTCATAAACCAATAACCTAGTATGATTCCATCCTATATATGCAGGGCCAGCTCTAGACATTTTGACACCCTAGGCAAAGTCATATTCTGGTGCCCGCTGCTCTCTATCATCACAGACTATAGAATACAAATAATGGTCTTGTCATTGTAATGTAGGTTCTAATTGAATGTTAAAAAATAGTATCCTAATGCTTAGTGCATTTTACAACAAAACTGTTTATCTAGGGAACGGCAGACTTCCCTCCTCTGGATATATTTAAATAGAGTGTAGATATTCATCTATCAGGTATGTTTTAATCTGGATTCCTACAATAAACAACAGTATTTAACTAAATGGTCCAGATGGGACTTTCTAATTAAATTATTCCATTATTCATTTTTACAGGACATCTATACAATGTCAATCATTATCCAGTTATTGCTTATGTTTGCTATGATTATTCCAACTTTCCTTAAACCTTAGAAAGCTAGGACTCCTCCTCCTCCTCCTCCTCCTTCTCCTCCTCCTCCTCCTCCTCCTCTTCCTCTTCCTCTTCCTCTTCCTCTTCCTCTTCCTCTTCTTCTTCCTCTTCCTCTTCCCCTTCTCCTTTTTCTCCTTCTTGGACTAATGCCATTTCCACCAATGAAGATGTTCTAACTCAATGGTTTTCAACCTTTCTCATCTAGAACACATGTGTCATAGGCAGGACTTCTGGGTCACAAAATCAAAAGTCCCATGACATCACATGTTGTATTCTATAGTCTGGGATGATAGACAGCAGGTCTTCTACATCAGTGTTTCTCAACCTCGGCAACTTTAAGATGTGTGGACTTCAACTTCCAGAAATCCCTATCTGGCATTTTAAACTTGCCAAGGTTGAGAAACACTGTTCTATATGATACCCTTTCAAAGTATCCTTTGAGTATTATATGTTCCAACTCATATTTCTGCTTTTAATAATTATTTGCTTTAGCTCAGATCAGTGTGTAGGCTGGAGAGTACATTATCAAAGAAGAAGTAATCTGTTTATATTATTATTTCTCCCACAACTTGAAGGTGTGTGCAGATGTTTTTCTTCATGACAACTATGAAAGATAAAGACAAAATTGCTTCTTTATGAGTCAGAGCATTCTTTTCATACAAAGGCATGAAAAGCAATTATCTTCAGTTACATCACTTCTATTACTCTTAATATGATAGGAAAATGGAACAGAATCTTTTAAAAAAATTATTGGTAAATTAGATTCAGTTCTGTTCATTTTGATCAGCCTCTGATTATAAAGTAATTTGTGAAAATATTAAAAGGCATCTATGTAATAAATGCCTTACCATGTAATAAATTACTTATACTGAAGACTTCAGTGTCTTCAGGACATAGAAGATTGTATAATAATAACCTACATGGATGCTGTCAAATGCAAATAATCATACCTACCAATCTCGTAAGCTATAAGCCTGGCTTTGCCTCTGTAAATTGAGATTAAGATATTTCTGTCAGCCATAGCTCTGGTTGCTTGGTTGAGGGATTTCAAGTTTACAGTTTTTAAAAAATTGAATAGGGAAAAGTCAACAAGTGATGTTATTGGCTGAAGAATACTATCAATCTCACAACAGAAGAACCAAGCCCTGAGACTCACAGAACTCTGCTGAAAGAGCACCTGAATTGTAAAGCTTGAGGGCTGAATATTGCAAGAAGTCAGCTGTCAGATAGTGGTAAAACTTCATGTAAGTAGCAGAAAGCAGCACTGGAAGTCTTCCTTCTGATGAGGTTGGTGTTAGAAAATACTCCTTGTAACAAGTGAATCATCCTAAAACTTAGACATAACAAGGAGGAACTAGAAAACGAAGATGCTACTAGGTACAACTGGCTGGGATCAAAATCAACAACATGTGGCCTGAACAAAATTTTCTGAAAACTAAGGAAGACTCTTACATTCTAGGAACTATAACTAAGCACGTTTAGACTAAAACCTGAAGGCGTAGGCATTCCCTTTCTTCACTTAAAAAAGAATGTGTTGGTGAGTTTCAGAACTGATTGGACAGGATCTAGAATACAAGGGTCTTCTTATGAACCACATCATTTTTTTCCCTTTATTCTTAGCATAACAGGGATAGAAAAACATCCGTTTCTTTAAAAGGTATACTTTTCTAGCTAACTAAACAAGCAGAATTCAGCTAATAGGTACAAACTGTCAGTTCTTCAAGGTAGGCAATGTCAGGAAACAGACCAAGGATTGCTACTTCATTGCTGCAAGGTACAATAACAGTATCTTGAAAGCCTGCCAGAGTTTCTCTCTGCCCCTCTTATACCAAACAGAATCAAGGCGGGGTTATTTTGAGTTTCTTTCTGACGCCTTCTCCTTTCCCAGGACTGAGTTATCATTTATTTTTCCTTACTTGTTTCTGCATACTATCTCCAAGGTTATCTCTATGTTCCTTTACTCAAACAGACCTATATTTCTCCCCCTACACTTCCTCCAGTGTCTGCCTTCAAAGAAGGATGTAATGTACCCAATTTTGCATTACCATTCTGAGATTAACTAACCCTGGGCAATAATAACCCTTCTAGTAAAAGGACAGTGTCCCTGTCCTAAAAGCAGCTGCCACTAAATTTGCCAAAGAGTTAATCAAAGGTTGTACTTAAAGTTTAGCTGGCCATCTCTCATACCTAGCAATACCTTTCTGAATTACCTTGGAATCTGCATCTTTTCCGCAGCCAAAGACTGCATAAGTTCCACTTTGCTCGTTGCCATTTTATTGCTTTCTCTCCTTCTCCAACTTCCTCACAACTAGTCTGTCAGCTTCTTAGTCCATTTCACCTGCCCTTTCCTAAGACAGGAGTCAAGCTACAGATGTTCAAGATTATTTCATGTTGAAGCAAGATTCTGTACCTGTAAAATCTTTTTGAGAACTTTCTTATCCAAATGTAAAAGCGATACATTGCCTTAAACCCTTTTTTAATGAACGTATGCATAATCCTTGCATATTTCCCCACTGCCTTGGAAGTAGACTACATTGTAAAGAAGAAAACATGATTATATGACAGCGTATAAAGAAATGTATGTATAAAGTATACACTTCTTTATAAGTGCATAAAGATATTCAAGTGAAAAATAAAAAAAGAAAGAACCTCTCTTATGAATTCAAATAATCTTGTTCACAAGTATGATTCAGTTTCTAAAAGTAACTCAGAAGTGCCAAAAGTGACACAAATGAGTGCTGAATGTCTGAAATGTGTGGGTTCCCTGGGGAGGAATACAGAATCACTAAGTGGTTTCTACATGTTGTGGACAAAAGGAAGAATAGTGGGGGAAGATATAAATGGAATCGATGGGGCTGTGAGAGGTGAAATAAAGAACAGAGCCTGTCTCCCATAATATCTGTCCAGCGACTTCAATCTTGCAGATTTGGCACACTCCAGATTCCTTCAATTAAACAATGCCATCTATTAGGACCCCAGAAGTGTACCTTCTCTGTAGTAATGCCTGCTCTCTGGAATTCCTCCTGAGATCTGGATAGCTATTACACCTGAGATCTAGAGGCCTCCACTCAGCTGTTGTTCAGAAGAGCAGTGAAGACCTGGCTGTTCACCCAGGCCTTTGTCAGAGGGAGAGTGAGACCCCTAACTTCATTCTATCTGGCTTATCGTGCTTGTCATCTTTTATCTTTCACTGATTTTATTGTAACTTGTTCAATTGTTGTGAGCCACCCAAAGTCATTGGGAGTCAGGTGGCATGAAGTTTAATATATACATCTGCCTATCTCAGGTCCTTGGGAAGGATTTGATAGGTAAATAAAAATGTCAAATCCAGTCTAAACATCTGGCTGACTGTGCAACCAACCATAAAAATCATCATCATCATTACCACCACCACCACCACCACCCTGAACTTCTTTGTCAACATGTAAGTTATCTGTCAATATCTGAGCCTGGCCTATAATTAATTCTTCCAGATTAAGGGAGGGTTTTTCTGGTACTGTGTTTGTTAGATAATGTATTTACTTAGCCAGGAAGGTAAGAGTAAGGAATATTAAGAGTTATGGAAACAGAGCACACTAAAGAACTCCTTGATACTGAATGTTTGTTCATCTGTTTCCAGTCCATCTTGCTATGGGAAGCTTGACAATACCCAGTTCTACTGCTCCTTGCCATCTAAGTCCAAGGCAGTAAATTTGATAAAAGGCTACATAAAGGAAAACAAACTATAATTAAATTCAGACAATGCAGAGGTCTTGTTGATCAGCAGGAAACTGCATTAGGGGACTGAAGTTCGGCCTGTTTTGAATGGAACTGAGCACCCTCTGAAAGAACAATATCTGAAAGAACAATATCAGAATGCTTCTTGTATCTCAGTTGTCACTGAGGTTCCAGCTGTGGTAAAGAACATATAAATATATTTATGCCTAGTGTGTCAGCTCTCTAGTCACAGGTGGCAACATTTATATATTAACACTGTGTACAGCAGGTATAGAGCCCCTTGATTTTTGACCATATGGAAGAACTGACATACTTTTTTTCATGAACTGTTGAGAGTAGGGCCTTTACCTAAACAGGTGGCTTCACTTTGAAGTAGTAGCTTCAAAGCAAAATTCCCCCTTAAAGCTTCCCCCCTAATAATACCCCCATATTATCCACGCACTGGTATTTACCATCTTGACTATTACAATGTGTTCTCTGTGTGAAAGGTGTCAGAAGTGACAACTGATGCAAAATCTGGCAGTTATAGTTGAGTGCCCCCAGATCAAGGAAGCACTACCTGGGGCTTGGGGAGAAGGATACTTTTATTTTTAACCATGTTTTTATAGATTGTTATGAGCTGCCTAGAGTCATTATATGAGATAGTCAGCCATATAAGTCCTGTAAATAAAATAAATAATAAATATGCCAGTGCAAGGTTCAGAGATCATATGATATCTATACTAAAATATCTGTACTGGTTGCCAGTGGTTTACCAGGAACAATGTAAGAGTATAGTATTCATCTCTATAGCCATAAAGAATCTATAACCAGACCACCTGAGAAGCAGTTTTGTATATTATGAAATGGTCTGACCATTAAGATCTGCAAAGGAGACCTTTCTGAAGCTATGCCCCTGTCAGGGTTTCTTATCTGGCATGTGGAGAGAGTCCTGTATCGCTTCCAGGCTATGGATGCCCTGTCAAGAATTTTGTTTGACACCACTCTCTGCTTTGAAGGCATGTCTCTTTTCCCAGGTTTTTAGTGGCTAGTTAATTTTAGTATTAATTTTAATTTATTTTTAACTATAGTCCTTATTTATTGTTATCTGACCTGAGTAGAAATCTAATGTTTAGTAGAAAGGCAGCTTCTAAATTAGATGAAGTGTACATGCCATTTCTCTAAAAAATTATCCATTAATTTATTAGAAACAGCTACTAAAACTAATTCTGTTTGTAAGGACACTACCTTAATTGTTTTAAAGCAAATTGGAAGATTCAATCACAGTTGATATGTTTTATAGATGAGATACTTGAATCTTTGCTTTGGTATATGCACTTTCATCATAGTTATGACCAAACAAAATCAGTTGAAGAAATCCATATTACTCCTGCTCATATTTTTCAAGATGAAGAACAGATATCCAAGATAGAGTGCAGAGTGCAGAGTGTCATGTATATATTAATCTGCCTGCTTTTAAATTGGGAAGGAAAATTGTTGGACTTTGGACATTAGCTTTATGGAAAACCATTGTTAACATAATGTGTGTCTGTTTATTTATTTGGAAGTTCTTAATGCTTAATTTAAAAAGGAATCTGCATCTCTTTGTAAATTGTAGGTTTTAAACATATTTATAAACATAATTCCATTAGATTGGCAGCCATTCTGAATAGCTGAAGCTCCTTTCATACAGCAATCAGATCTTTCTGTGTTTTATGATGTTCCTTTTGTAACATGAAAAAAAGTTAATCAACAAAAATTGACTTATTTATTTATGTATTGAACAATTTATATACTGGCAGCTTCAAAGACTCTAGGCAGTTTATAATTACTGTCAGTTAGAATAAAACATCAGCATAATAAAACAATCCCCAACATAAACATCATAGTCACAACAAAATACTACAATTAAAGAAAAGACCACATAACAATTTTAATAATTTTAAAATTATTTTAATTTAACAAATATTTTCTCAAGTTACTTTCTTGACCTGGGCTCAGGCCCCTTTTAGCTGAACATTGCCTAGGTAGCAGCTCGTCTTCCTGTCCTTCAAGGCCATTCCCTCTTCCCTCTACAATGCCTACCCTTTTGCCAAAAAAATTCTCAATAATCCTTAGAAAACCCAATTGTTCCCTCAGGCACATGGGGCAAGCCTTTCTAACTAGTCCTCTACCCTTGCAGAGGTCAAGTGTGGCATCAATGTGCACATAAACCAGATAAAGACTCAATTGTGGCAAAGTACCAATGTCAATGTCCTCCATCTTCAGATTCTGTCTCATCTGCTTCAAGGGAAAGACAAGGTCTAATGTGTAACTGCTTATATGTGTTGGCTCCAAGATCGCTTGGAACAAGCCCATGGGTTGCCACAGAGGCTGGGAAACTCCAAGCCCATATGAATTATATACCCAAAGCATGGAGAATGAAGCTCTTTAGCATTACTGCCTGGAAGACTTCAAAACCAGATGAACTATGCGATCCAGGAGCTAATTTAGATAAATGTGTATATAATACATATAACAATTTCAAAAGGTTTCATTTTAAACCGATTACAAGTTTATAAGAGCAGCAGTATTTCAGTAATGCATGAGAATATAGAATTACAATAAGGAGAAGGCTGTCATTATTACGTAGTATATTCATTGCAATTATTCAATTTTCTTGTTATGAAATCGTTCCAACAGACCTCTTCTTATGCTTGCTGGGAGTTTCTGGTGTTTGTTTATTAAACTCTGTAAAGCATTTTGCGCCTATTAGAAGAAGAAAACACACATGTAAAGTTCTCTGATTCTTAAGGCTTTTGCTCAGTGAGCCTAATTATATCATGATTCTCACATATAGTTTACCTTTTCTACCAGCTCTTCAGCAGTTATATTTGGTTCATATGGTATGGGCTGTCCAACATGTGTACGCCATTTCACTGGAAACCCACCATACAGAAAAATTAGTGGCCATCGAATATATTCATATAAATTTTTCAGCAGTCCTATATGATGAGAAAATTAGGTAGCATATTAAATATATGGCAGAGTTTTCAAGTTTAGGTTTAGGTAGAGAGCATTATGAAGTGAAATTATATGGTTTATGGTTTTATTTTCTTTTATGGTTTTTACTTTGTTAAAGATTTCTTCAATAAAAATTATATTAAAAAATGAAGTGAAATTATACCAGCTTCTAAATTATAAATGCCTTACCTTATTATTTCATTGATGACACCTATTAAAACAGTACTCTATATCATTCTACATCAAACAAAAGACCACTAGAACAGATGTCTAATAAAAATCACACCATTTTTGTTGGACATGTTCAAGGGGAATTTTCTAATGTTTAGTTATGTTCTGATAAGAATGATGATTGAAAACTGAGTATGTTCAACATGCAATATACCTGCATGGATAAAAGCATTTCTTTATGTCCCGTCCCCCGCCAATCTGGAATGTTGGAAAGAAATGTATGGAGACTCAGGACTATCTGTCTATCATCACATTAATTCTGAGAACAGACTAGAACAGAACCAAATTTAGTATGATGGGACAAGCTAGCAAAAGAAAGAGTTCTAAAATGGATTGGACCTGGTCAGGCTCAGATCCTTTCCATTTTCTGAGAGAAAAAGGTTCAGAAAAAATTCCACCAGTGCTGTCCTAGGAGATAGGCAGTTGAATAATACCTTAAAAGGCTGTTGACTGCTCCATTCTAAACTTCCCTACTTCCTCTCTCCTGGTCACATGACCCAGGGTGGAATGTATGTGCCCTGTTCTATGCTTCACAGTAGACACATAAAAACAAAATCCTTACACAAGAGGAGAGCAGAAACAGACACACTCACAAAAGCACCCACCTTAAGCACTTACTTATACACACACAGACACATTTAAACAGTCAGTACATATGCACCCACCCTAAATTAGATCTTCATGCACACATGCACGCACACACAGACGTACAGGCAAGGTACACACCCAACATGAACAAAGCCACACAGATACACACCATGTTACTTTACTACACAGATAACTTATGTGGCCACTGTTGGTAAAGAACTAGAAAAAATTTCAGAAGCTATGTTCTGCATGCTTTCCCTGTCTTGCATAGTGAGCATATCTCAAATCATAAGCTATTTAAATCTGGGTTCTCAGGTCTGCAGATAATACAGGTACAATACAATCTAGAAGCTTGCAGTTTTCCAATAAAATAAGACCTACAAGCAGAAAAAAATGTTGGTTAAGTGAAATAAAATCAGACACATTATGTATATGTGCATTGGTAAAACTTTGTTCAGTGGAAATCACTGTGTTGGAACAAAATCTTCCATGCTATCTGCTCTATAATATGTTGCAGAGTATTTAGGCATACTGACATAAAATAAAGTTTTTTTTTTTTTAAAAGTACATTATAAATTTGGAAAATATATAGTATATTGATCTTACTTATTCTTCCAAGTGTCCTGTACCCCTCACGACTATTCTCTGTAAACATTGGGATTATAGGCTAAGGAACAGAAAGACAAGGAAACAAATATCAACTTCATTTAAAGTATTTCATTTAAGTAGCTGGCAATATGAAGAACACGTCCTTTGATTAGAAATATATGACCTGTTCATAATTACTATAGCAACTTCGCCATGATTTCCTTTATTTACAAAGTTATTAGGTATATATCCCATCTGCCCGCCATGAACTTAAAGTGGCATTCCCTCCTCTGATTCTCTATATAAAAACAACCCTATAAGGTAGAGTTGCTGAAAGATAGTAACTGATTCAAAATCACCTCATGGCTTTCCATGGTTGATGGTGGTCTGGAATTTGGAACTTCCCAGTCATAATTTACCAACCTTCCAAATATTTGTGTATTAGAATTACATGGGATAAACAAATAGACTTGGGTAATAATGCATGAGAATGGCATATTCTACCTGATGTTTATTAATTCGATTTAGGTGCTGCCTGACTCCTAAAGAGACTTAAGATAGCCACTCCCTAGATTCTGCCAGAGTATATCTATTAGGTTAGCATAGTACAGATTTAGTATGGCAAGATTCTGTCTATATCGATTCTCTCTTCTTCCCATGCTCCTGCTCTGAACTATGTTGCCTCTTGTCTCCCCCTTTTTCTTCCTGGAATGGGCTCCCTCCTTCCTGAGAACCTGGGTCTCTACTGCATTCCATCACCCCCCCTCCCCCTGCATAGATACATTCCATCACAAGAAGCGAGGAGAAGAGCCAGATCTTTAAGGCCCTCTGGAATGCCATCAGAATGGGAGCCACCCAGATATCAGAAAGAACCTCATTCCAGAGGACAGGCATGTGACAGAGATGTTACCACATCAACACTGCATGATTGATATAGAGGAATGCCACTTTGGTGTTTTAAGAATGATCTCATAAATACTTATTTAACCAAAGAGATATAAAAGCTTCCAAACGTGGAAGCTCTAAATAGATTTGACTAAGACAGTTAAGCAACAGTGCAGGAACAACTGTCATGGAATTAATAAAAATGGAACCTGATGGATGTCGTGGAAGATACAGTGTGATTTCTCTGTGTATTTGGTAGGACTTACCACTCGTGCTTCTATAGCAACTTTTGCAAAACCTGTCCGTTTACCCCATATAGTTTTGTAGGTTTCATCACTAAAGATGGCTTCTCGTGTTCCCCCTGGTGCAATAGCCACCCAATCACCATTCTTCAGGGCACAAAGACATTCTTCCTTTGTACCAGTCATCATTTTCAGATTCCTGGAAAGCATTCTTAAGCCTAAAAGGAAGCAATAAAATAGTGCATTAATTAAAGGAATCGTGATACTAATTGCTTTATCAATTCCCTTACTTAAAAACTGAAAAATAAAAATATTTCCAAGAATATGTGAAGCAAAGATAACTGTAATATTAAAACAGGATAAACACTTGTCCAAATAAGAATCCTATATACCTAAAGCCCTTTTAAATCAGGAATTAAGGTTTGGACCAGCATAACAACAACAACAACAACAACAAAAATGACAGCTTATTGGAAGCATTAACTGGCTTTGGCTGATCTGAAAAAGTTAAACAAGGTTGCACCTGGTTAGTACTTAGATGGGAGACTCACAAATCAAAAAGCCCTTTTATATTGTGTCAAAAAAGTTACAGGGTCATGTCCATGGGTCACTACGAATCAAACTCAATTGGAAACCATTTTGAGAGTAAAAAGCTGAAATAAGAAAGTATATTTTTGAAAGCTTATAACTTCTCATGGAAAATATGAAAACATTTAAATATAATTCATGAAATGAGAACAATAGAACTCTGTGTGGATGATTATTTCTTGATCATGAAAAAGGGTTTGACCAACTAGAATAGGGTTTTTTTAATCAGGTATTGGACAAATCTGTCTTTGGAAAAGAAACCAAAGTGAGAACTGCTAGAAGAAAAAGGAGAATAAAAAGGTATTTGTAGTTGGTATGTTAAAAGATAATACAGTGTTATTATAAATGAGCTAGAGAAACTTTGAAGAATTTGAACTCATTTCTGAAAATGACATTCTCAGATAAAGAAGAATAGGACTGAATTCTGATGTTTTCTTCATTTCTGAAATAAAACAATCAGCAGAACCAATTTTTTTTTTCTTAACTGTCAGTGATTGTCAACATCTTTTAACTGGTAAGTAAACAAAGCATATAGACCATCTAGCCAGCATTAAGGCAATATTACAAAAAATAAATTACAGGAATTGTTTTATTTCAAATTGAATTATTTTCATTTTGAGCAGCAAATTATTTATTCTGTTTTTCTATTATTTATTCATTAATAAACTTCAATAACAGCAATATTATATTGCAGTTTCTGATATAATATAAGCTATTTTGCCACATTGCATTTTAAAATGATCTTGTAAAATGTGCAGATTTAGAGAAGGTGGTGACAAGCAAGTAAAACTCTTCAACTGGTATTTTGTTGTGAAATTTTTTCTTCTCTATGAATTTCAAACCACTATGTTACAAAAAAGTGTAAATAAATGAGAGAGAGAGAGAGAGAGAGAGAGAGATGACAGATAGCTCCAAAGATCTATGAATGCAAAGAAGATAATGGCATGGAACTCTGTAGTGCCTCCCATTTCAAGTTCCTGGGCCCAACAAGTTTATATAGAGCAGTGTTTCTCAACCTTGGGAACTTTAAGAGGTGTGGACTTCAACTCCCTGAATTCCCCAG